CCTGATGTAGCATTTGTGGTTGGAGTTGGGGTGCTATCCTGGACTGATGCAGAGCTGGTGGATGGAACTGAGGTACCAGTATGGACTGATGCAGCACTGGTGGTTGGAGTTGGGGTGCCATTATGGACTGATGTAGCGCTGGTGGTTGGAATTGGGGTGCCACCATGGACTGATGCAGAGCTGGTAGTTGGAGTTGAGGTGCTGGTGTGGACAGTGGTGGTGGCAGAGTCTGATGTAGCACTGGTCGTTGGAGTTGAGTTGCCAGTATGGACTGATGCAGAGCTGGTGGTTGGTGTTGGGGTGCCAGTATGGACTGATGCAGAGCTGGTGGTTGGCGTTGGGGTGCTAGGATTGGCTGTAGTGGATGAAGTTCCTAAGACGACACCTTCCTTGTGACCTGGAAGGGCAACAGAGCCTGAAGCAGGGCTGAGGGTGGGGAGTAAACTGGGAATCACATATATAGCCTTTCTCTCAATAGGATTGGACACTTGGTTGCATTGGACAGTCGAAGTCTGTTTTTCTGTTCTAATTGAGGCCAGAAGTTACAAGAACTATTGGGCTGGAGTGTACATCAGAGTAAGCAGGCAGCCCCTGAGTCTCCCCTCCCAACAGGCCACCTCCCCCTCTTCCGGCTCTCCTGTGCTCCTGGAAAGCCCATTCTCACTACTAAGACATGCCTCTCCTGACTCCCTTTCCTCTAGACTCCTGCTTGAGCAGAGGCCGCTTCTTCTCAGCCTGGACTTAGCCTCTCCAGACTGGGCCATCCTGTCTGAAATTTCTGACTCTTGTGCTGCCATCTGCCAGTAACGAAAACTCACAGAAAGGCCAGGAAGACCACAAGAGCAGGGCAGTCCCTCCCAACCCATGCACCTCACCTGTGGAAAGCACTAGTAGCAGGAGCAGGAGGAAAGGGGCCTGGATGGCCCCAGCCATGATGGTGGCGGACTGGTGGGGAGGGGGCAGAGCAGATTCAAGCAGGCGCCGAGAATGAGGTAGAGCTGGGCTGGCGCTTGCTGCTTTATACCGGTCTCCCCCCCTTCCCGCCCTAGGCACAGCAGGAGCAGGTGACAGGTGACAAAACTCCACCCACTCCCCCCTTCTGTACCTCCTACCTTTTCCTCCTCCTCCCCAACCATTCTCGGGTAGGGTACTTGGGCTCCAATCACTCAACCTTATGACAACCTGTTTGTTTTCCAACTGACCTCCCCCTTTCACCAACCACTCCCTGGCTCTGTGCTGGGGGGGGGGCAGTCTGGGCCCCCTGGTTACAGGTTTAGTCACAGGGCAACCACTAAGGTCAGGAAAGGGAGCAGAAAGCAGGTTGGACAGTAGCCAAGAAGCCCACCACTACACACACAACCCACCTCCCTCCACTTCCCTACTTTCCTCCAGCCCTACTTTTGGAGGGGGGAAGAAATAAGAAGGCTTCATAATGAGTGGACTAGGCTCTAGTTTTGGGCTCCCTCTCTCCCCCATCCCCCACTTCCTGGAATAGCCCCACCCTTCTTACCGCTCCCCACCTCGTGTTCCACGTGTGTTTCTACCCTGAAACCCACATCCCCGCCCTGGCTGGACTTCCCAGAAGCCTGAGTTCCTTCCTTAGCTTTCTCTTTGAGAAGTGGGGGGGGGGGAATTTCCACTTAAAGGACGAAACCTAGGCTCCGAGGAACCCTAAGGTCCTTCGCAACCCTTCACCTCAGTGGCAGCCAGCCGGCACCGCGGACTCGAAGTTCCTGCCCTCTAGTGGTCACCACGAGTCTTGAGGGACCGACCCTCAAGAGTCGAGGGGGCTGCCTCCGAGTGGAGTGGAGAGGGGGAGGGGGGGTTGAGCAGCATAGCCCAAGTGGGGTCAAAGATCCAGGGGAAGCTAGACCCTGGTGAGAAGAACAATGGCCGGGGACGGAGCAGGAGGAACGCAGAGTACAGTGGCGGGGCTGGGAACGGTAGGTGGGAGCCTCCAGAGCTTCAGGTGGTGTCTGCAGGAAATGGCTCTAAGTGGGTGGGGTCCCGAGGAATGTGGAAGGGGCCTGGAGGTATGTGGGAGGGGACACTGGAATGTGGGAGGAGGGGGGAAGTTGGATATTTAGGAAGCCCTGAGTAGGTTGGACTGCCAAACAAGTTTTAGGGGGTACAGAACTTTCAGAAAGTAGTATTTGGGACAGGTATACATGTAGTGGGAGGGCAAAGTCGTATGTAGATGTTGGTAATGAGTGAGAAACGAGAGGTCTTTTGAAGGGCTGAAATACTACGGGGCCCCGGCCTTTGGGACCACAGCCCCCCGGAGTTGAAGATCTCAGGCGAGATTCTGCGCTGCTGGGCTGTGGTCTAAGCCGAAGCAGTGACGACTGTACTGGAAAAACGATTCTCAGCTCTGACGATACAGATTGGAAAGCATTTTTTTTTTTTAAGATTTCAGGGCGGCGTGGGAATGGGGGAGGGCGGGGAAGCCTGATCTTGAGACGCGGGCACTAGTGCCGTCCCGTCCGACCTCCAAGGAGCTGTTTTGTGCCGCGGTGGGTGCCCGAGGCGGGCTCCGGACCCGGGCAGGGGGGCGGGGTTGCGGTGCGTAAGCGCGCCGAGGCCCGCGGGCTGGAGGCGGGGAAGGCTCCCCATCCGCGGGCGGGCGGGCGGGAGAAAGTACAAGTATCTAAGTGGGCGGTCCCAAACCTCAACCACCGGAGTTGCCAGGCAACTGCCATTCAGTTCCGTTGCTGGGACACGCGTCACCATAGCGACCGCTCCGTGCCGCTCAGTCTGAGTATTTAAAGAGCAAGCGCGCGCAACTCCCAAGCGTCGGGAAGCGGCCTTCGAGGGTGTCACGGTCTCTTCTTCTCCGACCCCCCCCCCTTACCATCCCTTTCACCTTTTGGAGCGCCAAGGCTTTGGCCGGCCTTTAAGATGAAGCCAACTCCTTAACGCGCCCTGGTCCTTGGGTTCCCCCCCGCCCCCGGGCGGGCGGGAGGGACGGGACGCGGTGCAGTGTTGTTCTTTCCCCCGCCAATATTGCACTCGTCCCGGCCTCCGGCCCTCTCGGCCCCCCGGCCTCCCCTCATCCCGAATGGGGCAGCCCTCCCGCCTTCCTGGTTTTCGATCCTGGCTAAGATAGACTGGAGTGTCGACGCTGTCACCGTGAGTAAGTGGGGCTGGAAGGACTTTAGTCATCATCCGACCAGTACCCCATCCTTCGCTTAACCCTATCTGGCACTTTTCTCTCCTCCTCCCCAAACTCACACAAACTTTTCCCTAGATTTCTTACAACCTACCAGCCTTTCTCTCTTACCCCCTCAACTTCTTTCTGTTCCCCACCATATCCTGGGGAGGGGGGGAAATCCCTAAAATAAGCAATTGCACTGGCTTAGAAAACAACTGGAACTTTATGGCAGTGGGGCTGTTATCTCTCCTGGGGTTAGTACCTGAGTAATACCCCTTGAAAATTTCCCAACCACTGAACTATGTGGTCACTACCCCTCTGGGGCTGAACTTCTGATGGGTGCCAGAGGAGGGTCTATTTGGCTGAGGGGCTATAGTTTAGATCCCAGGGTCTCCACAATGGACCCCAAGGCCAAAGGGTCTCAAATCAGAATTCTGAATCCGGTGGCCACCTCCTCACACCCTTCCCTGTAGTAGCTGCCTCCGGAATGGCTCAAAGTCCTCAGGCACTGTATCTGAAGAAAGGGAAAAAGGAAGGTCAGAGGATGTGGCTTTCCCAGGACTTGAGACAGGTCAGGTTGATCTTGGTTTGGAGCCTCACCATTGCATCGGTACTGGAGATTGGACCATATGATGTTTTCTTGGGAGAAGCAGAACACACCAAGACGTCCTCCTCGCATGGATGTGTCTATGATTACCCCAGAATCCGCCACTAGCTGGGGACCCTCATAGAGCTTCACCCTGTGCAGGATGAGGGGCATCCATTGGTGTCCTTTCCTCTGGCTTGTTCATCCCCAGCCCCCACCCCCTTGAGCTCACCCCTCCTGAGAGAAGGGAGGGGAGGAAGGAAAGGGGAGGGAAAGGGGGTGCTTTTTCTCAGGCCAGGGGCCCCTAGCTCTTTGTCCAGCCCCTTTTGCATCTCAAAGCACCAGCCACATTCCAAGCGAGGATTGGGTTGCCATGACGATGAGCACAATGGGCTGGGGGGTGAAGTCACCCGCTTCCCAGGCTCTAGTCCACCCCCCTTTATCCCCTGCCCAGGCGCCCCACAGTCCAGGGCACCTTAAAGAAGAATCAGCCCAGACCCTTGGACCCTGGGCTCTTAGCCATGGAAAGTCCAGGCTTGAGGGAGATCAGTTTCCCTTCCCTCCATTAGTCACCGTCATTAACTAGGGAGCATACTTGTCAAAGGGAAATGCAAACTTATGGACAAAATGCTGAACTGTGAGATCTGGGCCTCTGTTTGCTCTTCTGTAAATGATCCCTTCCAGGTCAGAAGCTGATGGAACTGGTTCTGTCCGGGATGCACCACTTAAGCTGCTCCACAGATTCCCAGAAAATGGGAAAAGGCATCTAGCTTACCCAATGCCCTTGTTTCACAGAGGGCATGTCTGTAGTGAGAGGGAGATGGAAGGAAGTAGCTGTAGTCCCCACTAAAGAATTATGTCGAGGTGAGGTCACTGTTGAGCCCTAGCTACTGAGGGAAGGAAAGGACTGAGCCTGGGGCCCCACCCTGTAGGGCCCAACTCCTCTCCTCACCGAATGTAACCAACTTGGGGCCGATGCAGCAGCTGCCAGCGATAGGAGGTCTTGTCACGCCAGCCCACATTTCGTGGATCAGTCCACAGAAGTCGGACCTGATCAGGGGTGTGGCCAGTATGCCACAAGGCATTCCTGAGATGCTCACCTGGGCCAGTCACTGATGTCACAGCCTGAGGATCATTGGCAAAGACAGTAATCAACCACATGATCAGAAGAAGGGAAAAAAAAGTTTGGTAAGTGCCAGTAATCAACCACATGATCAGAAGAAGGGAAAAAAAGTTTGGTAAGTGCCGGTGGAAATAGAAGTCAGGGTGGTCAGAATTCTCCAGAGTCCCACAAAGCAGGCATCCAGACAAGGCCTTTGGGTAAAAGAGTTCCCAGTCAGACAGTGGGGGAGGTTCTGAGGTTGGACTGGAAGAGAGAGCTTTGGGGAAGGTTGGGGAAACTGGGCAGCTGGGGTACCTTGAGTTGCAGGCCAGGCTGAGCAACAGCCCGGAAAGGTGTGGCCTGCCAGTAGGTCTGCTCTGTCTGCTTCCACATGACCACATAGAAGCGTCCACTGTCCTGGTAACTGAAGAGAAAGCCTGCGTAGTCATCGTCAGTGACTGTGTTTACATGGAAGGTGCCTTCAAAGTCCACACCATTGAAGGCTGTATATCCTAGGTTGGGGATGAGAGAAAAGTTAGGGGCAGCAAAGATACTGGTGGTCCACTGTGGGGTGGGGAGTTGGGAAGGATGCCAGCTATATTTATGGCTAGCTTACTTCACTGCCTTTTCTCTCATTTTTGCCTATCTTCTCCATCCTCCCTGACCCTCTTTTATCCCTTCCATTTGGGAATTATATTGAACTAGGTATCCCTTACATACCGACTGCCAGGCCAGGGTCACTGTTCATGGTCTGAACAATTTCCATGCCCTAGGGGTTGAATAAAGAAAAAAAAAAACAAAAGCCCTGATCCAACTACCTGATTCCCACCACTACCACCACCACCTCTGGACCTCATCTAGTGATGTGGTCTTGAGTGTACCTGCCCAGCCCACATCCCTGAGTACCTGATTGAGTACAACCCAGTTTGGGTCAATCTGAGCATCACCTTCAGGATCCAGGACGACAGTCTGATAGGCGCGAAAGTCTGTGAGGGTTACCTCTGCACTTTCAGGACACACATCCAGAGGATCAACTACTGCATCATTGTCAAAGTCATCTTCACATACATCACCAACACCATTACCTGGGTGGAGTAAGACTAGGTGTTCATGAAGTCCCTGGTCAATACCCACTGGCCAA